AATGTGCTTATTTACATTGTAAAAGTCTTTTTTATTCTAGAATGAAATCATAAGCTTAATCTGATAGACCAAAATCCGTACTTAGATCTTTATTTTTTAAGCCATTGATTTTGATAGTTTGGGATGCTTACATTTAAATATGGTCAAACGTATTTAAACTGAGTTATAAGATTTAGTTTCAGTAAACACAGGAAGACCTCACTTAGGAATTCTTTTGATGTGCACCTAATGCAGTCAGCTTAAATTCGCAGCTTTCTTTTTTTTTTCCTTTTGACATATTCTTTTGGGTTTTTTTTTTTTTTGATATTGAATTTACTGTCAAATTGATTTCCATACAACACCCAGTGCTCAAAAGAAGATCCTTCTTTTCTATGTGTCGATGCTAAGATTTAGCCACATTGCTGATGGGATAGAAAAAGAGATGGAATGAAGAAATCTGGTCTATAGTGAACCTGGAATACTCAAAAGTCCTATCATGACAAGTGAAATACAGGAACACTTTTCTATGGTGATTATGAGGTCCTCTCCTTTGATGATAACTTGCTTCCTCAACTGCTTTAAATTTTTGTCTCTCTACTCATGCACCTAAGTACACTATGTGGGAGATGATGTTGTAAAAGATAGGATGAGGAATCTGCAGGATTCCTGCAGGATGTAGTTGAGCTACTGCCAACACTGTTAAGCAGCCCCACTGCTTCTTGTGGTAATCTTAGTGATACCGTAATATTCTCTCTCAAGTGCACATCATCAACACTCAATGATATAGAGCATTTCAACAGCTACCAATGGTGGATTTTTCGCAGGTACTGCAGAATCAAGATAATGAAATTACTGGAATAGGAAAGAAAAAAAATGCTGACTGAAAGGTCTTCGTAATTTTACAAATTACAGATATTAAAGTGGTTATTTAGACAGGACTATCATGGCTCCTACAATAATTTAGAGGCACATCCGAGCTAATTGGCACATTAACATACGCAGAATTAGGGGGAGCGGATAAGAAAGCAAGAAAACCAAGTCAAATTCATTTTCAAACATCCTTGTTGAAAATTCTGTTTGTCTGAATTAATTCATTTCTGCAGGAATTCTCAGCTGTGTTTTCTACTTTCATCCAATTACCATAAGAGTAAGGGCACAATCAAAATTGAAGAAAGTCACCCCAACTCCCTCCCATTGAAATCCTGACAAGGCCATACATGTGAACGACAAGGAGTGAGTACTCAGACATGTGATGTGAAGAAAAGACTGTGGGGCAACTCAGCCATTACCAAGAATGAACTCTCCAAAGCTGTTCTCAACCTTTGCTACATGTGAAAATACCCTGGAGAATTTCCAATAATTCTCATGACTGAGTCTACACAGAAATTCTGACATGATTGGCCGAGGGCACCCCCTGGGAACTTCGATTTTTCTTCCAGATCTTAGGTGCTAAAACTAAACGTCCATGTTTTGGTAAGTTCTGCAGGAAAATTAAGGAGTAAATAACTATATTCGTGGTATGTGTTTCTTTGCAGTTAGATAATTTAATGATTTTATTCTGCAAAATTACAATGCTGTTTTGAGGAAATTCTCCGTGATTTTTATATTTTAATCATACTATTTTTGAAATAGTTCTTTAAGTTTCTGATTTATGTATCTAGAAGATAAACTTGTGTATCTAGAAGAACTCTCCCCATTTGCTTTATTCTATTTGAATCAATAAGATGTCACCTTAATTTTGTACTTGAATAAAGATCTCTCTTTAAATGGCCTGGCATTGGGGCTTTGATGCTGTGGTCAAACTATTCAAGATTTTGGTGTGTTTATGTGTGATTGTCTGAAAAGAAATGCTCAGGTCACTGTAAGCTCTGATATCCTTGCAGTATGTAGTCTTATTGTCTAAATGGTTAAGCTTTACTCATGTGAGCTCATGCCAGTAAATACAACAGTATATATTTTTAATCAGATTTAGAATCAGAAGGCTCAATTCTATAATCATGACAGATAACTGATCAATTAACACGCTGAGGCAGGGCGGGGGGCTCATTTCTGCCTTATAGTTACAAATGCAAATGGAATCCAAGGACCTATTCTGGTCTATATCTACTTTTATAAATAGTAAGACTATATATGAAGAGTTAGAAAGTATACACATTGCATGGATGTCCTTAATACCAGGAATTTGTTACACCTGAGAATCTTAATCTTAAGAGGCAGAAAAAGAAGGCTTGAAGAACAGATTTAAATTTGATAGCAAAACTATCACTGCACCACACGGTGGAGTCAGACATCCACAAATCTAAGTGGCCAGTGTGTGACAGGAAATCAGAGCACATTATTTAAGATGACTAAATACGGTAATGCTATTCCTTTTGTCTGGCTTCTCAGTGATATACTAAAACAAGTACTGATTCCTGAAACGGGAAAGCTAAGTCCACTGAATCTTTTATTATTTTTTTTTAATTTTTCAATGTTTATTTATTTTTGAGAGAGAGAGAGAGA